GAAAGATTGAGGAAGTTGAGAGTATAAAGACAGAGATTAAGAGTGTCTTGCATTGCCGGGAGGCTAGGGGTTCTTTTCCCTTTGATCAAATGTCGTTCTAACGCTGTTTTATAGCTGTGCTAGTGTATGCAGGACCATTATCTGTTTTTATTTCATTTGGGCGTCCCAACGATGCAAAAGTGCGAATGCAATGATTGATGACATGTTTGGAGGCTTCTCCTCTTTGCGGGGTTGCCATTATGAACCCTGAATAAGTATCAATTGTGACATGCAGATACTTCCAGGGGGCAAACGGAGGAAACTGAGTAACGTCCATTTGCCATATTTCGCAGGCTTTCAAAGTAGCCAATTAGCGTTTGCATTTCAGTTATTTGCCCATGATGACGTGTTGTTGATTGATGTTCCTGGTACACGCTTTCAGCCTACGTGAGGCCTTGAGGCCTTGAGGCCTTGAGGCCTGGTATGTACCGAAACTATACAAGCTAATTTATTACTGTAGCCTTGGGTTCAGTTCCAAAACATCTGGAACATCACTTGAACACCATCAACATTGACAAAATCATCTGTCAATTGCAAAGGCAGTTTTACTTATTTACATCCCATGGCAACCTCTAACACCATCAAACAACATCTGCCTATCTCAAGTCCTTGAGAAAAGCTCGATAGGTAGACAAAAATGCCAAATCCAGTCTAAACATTTGGCAGATTATGCAACCAAGTATAATAACAATATAGCAAATAAGAATCACAGAAAAGAGCTGGAGAATACTTTATGTGGCATGATTTCCAGCAGAGGTAAATCAAATTTATGATGACAGACCCACAACTAATTTAGAATTGAAATTAATTCCAGCCAAGGACTTTATCTACAATACAAACAAGTTAAAAGTTGGAGGTCACTCCCTAGTGAAAATTTCCATCTTGATTGATTGGTTGGTGGTTGGACAGTTGGTTGGTTGAATAGTTGGTTGGTTGGTTGGATGGTTGGTTGGTTGGTTGGATGGATGGATGGATGGATGGATGGATGGGTGGGTGGATGGTTGGTTGGTTGGTTGGTTGGTTGGTTGGTTGGTTGGTTGATTAAACATATTTCTATACCATCAAAATCAGAACTACCCTGGTAACTTACAGCAAATGCATTATAAACCATACATGATACAAACACAAAAAACACAACAGTGCTACAAAAATACAATTTTTAAAAAGATCAATATACCCAACACCTTTTCTTCTTGGTGGATAGGACAAGCATATCTCACCAAGGGAGTGTGTTGCCTTCCCAGTCGAGAAAGGCCCCATTGGAGGCCGATGATAAATTCGCCAGCACATTGAGGATGCCTCGCACACTGTTCTGCACAGTCACAGGAGCCTGGGAGAGAAAGAGAGGCAGAGTTACTATCCTCAGGGAAGAAAGCTTGAGCCCTGGACTCTTGCCCATTCATTCTCCCTCTCTGGCTGAAACCACAGCAACAAAAGAATGGCTGCTACAACCACCGTATAGCATAGCATCGTGTTTTTCACCCTTGGCAACTTTTAGATGCATGGACTTTAAGTCCTAGAATTCTCCAGCCTAACTCAGAACTGGCCCAGGGTTGAGATGTATACTGATGGTACCTGACCCCAAACTGATAAATGATCTCATATAACATGTAGATGTCACCAGTCACAAAGAAAAACCATCACAAAATGATGCCCCACACACACAACTCCAGCGCCTGAAGTTGATTCAAAAGGATATTATGGTCCACAGGATGAAAAGCTATTGAAGATCAAAGAGCAATGAGATGGATACACTGCCCCATCTCAGCACCAACATGGGACCACTGCTGTCTCTGTCGTAAACCCTGGCTCTCCCTCTTTCATCCTTTATGGTACCTGCTGTGTTCCCATGTCTGTTTTCACCCAGCCGGGATGGATTAGACTACACAAGATCCCTTCCTCTTTTAGTTCCAAAGCGAAGCAGACCGTCACCATGTTCAAAGCAGCCTGCGAAGAAAATTAAACTCTTAAGATCAACTCCTCATTCTTTTCTTTCATTTGAAACCTCTCTGCTCTGATGCCCTGACCCAATCACACAATCCATTGCTATCAAAGCGTTGGCATGATTGAATGCAAGAAGGGCAGGTTTTACCCCATTCAAATATTCTGGGCTCTGACTCCCTAACCTCTGGCTACATTGGCAGGGTTTATATATGAACTGTAATCTCAAAGAACTCAAAGTGCTTAAAAGGTTATAAGGATTATACAGGATTAAAGGCTTAAAGGAGAATAGAATAGAATAGAATAGAATAGAATAGAATAGAATAGAATAGAATA